CGCCAGCTACCTCCGACCAAGCACCCGGTGATTCTCAGTTTAGATGGCGGAGGGGTGCGCGGCATAATTCAATTAGGGCTGTTACGGGCTTTAGAGAAGCGCATTGGCATTCCGATTGCGTCTCTGCCGGATCTGTGCACTGGAACTAGTGTAGGTATGTACAACTACTGGCCATGTTTCTTATGGTTGTTGATAGACTAACAAGCCTCGTCTTCAGGCGCATTGTCGACGATTGACCTTGTTCTCAATCAATCTTCAGTCACGCAGTGTTTCAATGCGTTCCCGGACCTGGCGCGAAACATTTTTCGTCGTTCATCAAAAATCCCAATTCCTCGTTGTATCCGGTGGCTTGCCTCGGCGTTCAACTTGACCACAGATGGTCTTTATGACTCCGATGGGCTGGCACAAATCTTCAAAGCAGCTGTTGGCCCATCTCGTCGCATGTTCGATGTTGCCACGGCTCGCCGTGCGGGTTGCCGGATCGCCATTGTGGCAAGTCGCACCTCCGATGGTAAAGCCTGCGTATTGGCCAATTACCGAGGAATAGGACCGCGCACCGCGAATACCGCGTATCAATTTTTGGCGCCACATGACGACCAGGAGAATCCTTTTGTATGGGAAGCGTAAGTCGACCCTCGGCATCTACCCAACTTGAACAGTGGTAGACGATTTTCTAACACTTTGTTTTGGGCAGAGCAATATGCAGTGTTGCAGCACCCTTGTGAGTTCAAACACTGAGACATTGTAATGCGCTGACACTCTCTAGTTACTTCCAGACAAAGAATTTGCCAGGCCTTGGTGTCTTGCAAGATGGTGGGGTCCGTGCGAACAATCCGCTCGCCATTGCATTGCGAGAGTCGGGCATTATCTGGCCCATGGCGAAACGACACGACCTTCTCCTCTCTGTCGGAACAGGCTTCTCCACATCTACCCCCAGTGATCCAACGGGCTTCCTGGGTCGAATCTGGGAGGGTGCTCTTCCTCGACTGTTTCGGGCCATGATGTCCTCTCCATCTATGGACGGAAAGCAAGGGTTTTTGGAAGCTTTGAATTACCTACCGCATCTGTCGACGCCAGATGCTTTCCGACTGGACCAGGAAATCGATGGAACACTCCCTGAATTAGACGATGTATGCTGGCTGGAAGCGATGTCGAATATGGATTTTGCAGTGCCAGATAAGCTTGTAAGGACTGTTCTCGCGTCCGCCTCGTTTTTCTTTGAGTTAGATGAGTCCCCCACCCAGGTCAATGCTTCCTTTCATTGTCGAGGATCTGTTCTTTGTTCACAGCCAAATCCTGCCAAGATCTTGCAGCGTATTCTTGTCGAGTTCCCCGGCGCAAGGTTTCAGTCTAGTCAGGACCATGATCTAGGAAGCATAGACCCAGTCGACATCTGCCAGTCTTGTGGATACTTCAGAAAGCGTGTTGCTTTTCGGGTCGCCAGCCTTGACGAGAGCATCTCCATTGAAATTGCTAATGATACCTTTCGCGAAAGGATTGGTGGTTTCCCCAAATCGGCCCAGGAATTTCTCGATGAGCAAAAGGCTTACGCTCAGTTCGGTCGCGCAGATCATCAAAATCTGGAATGGCCGCGGCGGCGATCTTGTTACTGCTATCGTGGGTCGAAGCGACTAGTCCACTTCCTAGAACCTACTTTGGGGCAGAAAAGACGGCGGTTATGAGCTGGGTGCAGTTGTAGTTCGGCGTTATGTCAGGTAATAAGTAGAAACAAAATTCAGTTAGATCTCGACGGGGTATCCCGATGAATGTAAGGCGGTGTACGAGTACTCTGGCAAGAGTAGGGACAATTTGAAACATATTCATATTCAGATTAGATAGTCTTAATCCGAGCTGCGCTATTTCATCTCGTTATACTCATGCCATGTGCACACGCTATGGTCACACCCGTTCGTGAAACCTGGAAAACGCGAGTAGGGGACGCGCAAAGAAAACGACCGCCGCGAAGTCACTGGATGACCAAAAATGATGCGCCGTCCAATTTACCGCCTATTGGGATTTCAGTACAGCTGGCACCGAAAAGCATTGCTAATTCTTCAACGGACTTGCTTGACACTATGCTGGTGCTGGCCTGCGCCTGAAAGTCCCGGGGTCCGTCAACGGTGGTGAGCATGTGAGGACAGGGAGCCGTCGAAAAATGCTCAAGAACACCAATCCACTACTTTCGCCCATGCAATGAATTTTCCGTTTCTATAAAGCGACTATCCCCATCCCAACCTCAGTTTCGGAAAGTAGAAAAATACGAGACGTAGTCCGCCTGCAACCAACATGAACCCATTTCAAAAACAAGTTCCCGGTTACTCTGGCGACAACACTTCCAGTATCTATAGTCGATCCTCCGACACGGCCAAAGATGCCATACCTATGACTTCCATACCAACTACCCTACAAATCAAGCCATCTCTCCCTGAGATAAATCTGCTAGACCACCAAATCTCTATGGCTCGCGGATCTACAATGGCCTTGGAAACCACACGGCCGCGACTGAGGAAATCCAAAACTCAGCCCGAGATGTCAATTGCAGAATTGAAGGCTGAACGATTGCAGCAACATACTCAGCAGGGGCTTGAAAACGACTTCTATTGCAAGTGTTTTGAGAGCTTCCACAATCTCGTCAGCACCACAATGGACGCAACCCAAACTTTGGCTCTGCAGTATCATTTCAACTCTGCAAACCACCCCTCCAGGGATCCGCGCTTGATTCGAGCTATACTTTCATTGAGGGTGGGTCTTGACAGATCCCGAGCCGAGGAAGCCAGCGCAGAGCAGGAGTGGAAGCAGCAGTGGAAGCAGCAGTGGAAGGACTCTTCTGCTAGGCAGTCGTCACTCCGATGGCTTTGACCATTGAGACATATTGTGTGCTTTGACATGTATCAGGACAGATAATCCAGGGCAGAAATTTCAGTTGAGATCAGGAAAAGACAGACCGAGTGTTCCGACATCTAGACCTAGTGAAAGTTAAAAATAAGACCACCAGAATCTTCAAAGTCATCGCGAGGATTCACTTTGTGTTTTCCCACATTAGCCACAGCAGAGAGACAGTGCAGTTCCCAATACCATTATCGTTGTAGGAATAAACCGACAACTCCTACGAACTTTTGAACTCGGCGCTTAAAAACTGTTCAACTTTGCAGACCAAGTCATCTTCACTGCACTGAAGGACTCGCTTTACAGCTTCTGGAAGCAAGACCAAGCGCCGGCCCAATTGATGTGGGCGGGCTTTACACAAGGAGATTTGTAGGCTGGCTTTTTGCTTTAGCTAGGTAGTCAGATGGTCGAATTCTGAAAGCGCCGTCTTCACCAACGCTTGAAGACGACAAAGACTTTCGGAATCTTCCAAGCCAACGGTGCATTTCGAGAATTTGATGGCAACGCGGATTAGCTTAAGTAATGATTTTCGATCCTGTGGAATGCGATGAACAGCCGCGTGGCGGATGCTAGTGATCACGCCACGCCATCGGGTCAACGCTCTCAGAGTTAACTGATAACATTCATCCTTGACTTTCTCTCGATGAGCTTTCAAGAACCGGAAGACTTTGTGTAATTCCAAGGCCTCTGGGCACGTCCATCCGGCCGCGAGTGACTCTGCTAAATGCCATTCCTGAATAAAGCAGAAAGCACGAAATTCGAGTTGTCGTTGTATGACCTGCAGGATCTGGTGCTGAGCGCGAAAGGGAATATACCCAGCCGAAAATCCGCGTAATGAGCTTATGCTTTCCATTACCCCTCTGAAACATGGTTAACTTATCGCCACTGGGTTATCAATGATGGAGTATCCGACATACCTTCATATAGCAAATCTTTCTGGGCTATAGAGCTAATCGGAGCTTCTGTGCAGTTCAGCCCTTTGGTGGTGGGTTAGATAGCATTGGAGATCCACGAACCCAGCTGGAGCTTGCGTGCGGGAGGTTTCCTGAGATATATATCGTTGTATGACCACGAGGAACCACGAGGATGGACCTCGTAGAATTGAGATGACTGTTTCAGCGGTATAAGACATTCCTCATTTTTTGACTCGCATCAGGTTGTTGCGGACTTTTCCATTATAGGTTGAAATTTCACAACGGTCCGTCGCTCCTTCGTACCGTAAACACCATCTTGCTTGTTTCCTTAGATTAGCCTATCGCACCGCTTATATAGCAGTAGGCTTTCCTATATTATCTGGTATACGACAGTTCAACCTTGGTAATAAATAACATGATTGCGCTGGTGATATTCATTCTGAGCGTTATGCTGGTCGCGATTCCAGTGGTATGACCCTTCCTTTGTAGTGCGAGTTCGCGAAATGCTAAGTTTTGACCAGACTTCAAGGCCTCTAAGGGCAATCATGTTCACTACAGAACCAATGGTAAGTAATGCTGTTCTTGTAGTATTGTATCGCGAGGATTTACCCTGATAATTCTTTCCGACGCAGAC